CTTAATTGGAACTAAAGTTATTGTGTCCCAAAGCATCAACCAATCAAATTGCTTATCTCTACTTACCCTAAGCAGAAAATGCTCATCTTCACACTCCATCAAGGCATTGACCTAATAAACACCTACACCAAGTTTGAACATTTTAGCTCAATTAGAAGGAGAGTTATTGTGTTCCAAAGTCTCGGCCAATCAAAATTGCTGATCGCTCTGCTTACCTTGAGCAGAAAATGCTCATTATCGAACTTAGTCAAGGTATTGATGTAATGAAACTATAGACAAAGTTTCATCACTCTCACTTAATTAGAACTAAAGTTATCGTGTCCCAAAGCATCAACCAATCAAATTGCTTATCTCTGCTTACCCTAAGCAGAAAATGCTCATCTTCGAACTCCATCAAGGCATTGACCTAATAAACACCTACACCAAGTTTGAACATTCTAGGTCAATTAGAAGGAGAGTTATTGTGTCCCAAAAAGTGTGAAAGACAGACAGACAGACGAACCCATTTTAATAGTCCCCTGCTTTCTTCGAAAGGCGGGGGACAATAAGTTTTGACTTAGACCTAATTTTTTTTTTGACTAAAGCATTTGCGTGTAATCGACTCTACCAGATTCATTAATTGGCATCATTTCTGAACTTAAATAAAACAAAATTGGTTCAAATACATCAATTTTCTTTTTTGGCATTTTTTATTTTCTGCCACGGAATTGCCCTACAGTAAATCACAGTTAGTTATATGGCCGGATAAACCTGTAAAAATGTTCCATATAAGAGGAATATAATGAGTATTTTGTCACTGTTTATACTAAAACGTGTACAGACGTCATATGTTTTTGTGTGTCACATGATCAAAATAGTATTATGGACTGCACTTGTTGACATTTTACAATGAACGGTACTTAGCAGTAAGTTAGTTCTGTTAGGTTACTATTATGTAATAAAGGGAAAGAATAGAAACGCACATATTGAAAGTACTTTATTTATTCTTCAGTGCTTTTAGCAGACAGTCAAAATCAAACATAATAATATGTAATTGTATTTTTATAAATTGGCTGAAACGACTACCGATTTTTCAAAATGGGAATCGGTTTGAGCTAGAAATCGAATCGACTATGACTAAACCAATTAATTGTGACAACCTTACTTGATATACCATATTTTTACGCTATTTGAGAACGAGGGGGGTCCACAAGCTAAAATCGCGATTTTTCATACAATCAGGGGCCATAATCATGACAACCTTACTTGATATACCATATTTTTACGCTATTTGAGAATGAACGGCGGCCATTTTGTCTGTCAATTTTAGGCCGATTTTCACGAAATTCGAACTCGGTCATCCTTAGGGTGTAACGGTGATTTAATAATACGTTTTTTTAAATCGGATAAAAATTATGACCTCTATAGGGTCCACAAGCTAAAATCACGATTTTTCATACGATCAGGGGCCATAATTCAGGAAGTTACTGTCCAATATGCATGAATATAGAAAAGAACCGAGATCTTTGGGTTATAAACTTACATTTCAAGTTTCAACAAAATCGGATAAAAATTGTGACCTCTATAGGGTCCACAAGCTAAAAATGTGATTTTTCGTACAAACAGGGGCCATAATCCATGCTGTTTCGATCCGATACATGCCAAAGATCTTGGTTCATTTCGATATTTGCGCACATCGAATTGTAATTTCTTGAATTATGGCCCTTGATTGTAGGAAAAATCACTTTCTTTTTAGCTTGTTCTCTATTCATCTCTCGTAAATGTGGGCGTATCCTGCCTGACAGCCGCTGGTTTAAATCAGATAAAAATTATGAACTCTATAGGGTCCACAAGCTAAAAACATGATTTTTTGTACAATCAGGGGCCAAAATTTGTTAAGTTACAGTCCGATATGCGTAAATATCGGAAGGAACCGAGATTTTTGGGTTATAAACTTATATTTCAAGTTTCAACAAAATCCGATAAAAATTGTGACCTCTATAAGGTCCACAACCTTGATATACTATATTTTTACGCTATTTGAGAATGAAGGGCGGCCATTTTGTCTGTCAGTTTTGGGCCGATTTTCACGAAATATGAACTCAGCCGTCCTTAGGGTGTAACAGTGATATAATAATACGTTTTTTTTAAATTGGATAAAAATTATGACCTCTATAGGGTCCACAAGCTAAAAACGCAATTTTTCGTACAATTAGGGGCCATAATTCAGGAAGTTACGTTCCGGTATGCACGAATAGCGAAAGGAACCGAGATCTTTGGGTTGTAAGCATACATTATAAGTTTAAACCAAATTGGATAAAAATTGTGATCTCTACAGTGTTCACAAGCTAAAAACGTGATTTTTCGTACAATCAGGGGCCATAATCCATGAAGTTACAGTCTCAATCATGCCAATATCAAAAGGAAACGAGACCTTAGGGTGATAAACCTATATTTCAAGTTTCATTGAAATCGGATAAAAATTGTGACCTGTAGACTTCACAAACAATTGTGGAGGGACAGGGGCGACGACAATATGTGAGCGTATAAAAATATGAATGCTCAAAGCCGAATGAAAATTATTTTTACCTCACCGAAACAAAATTTGATCGTTTATATAACCGTTTATGACCCCATCTTTGTTCAACTTAGTAAGCCCTCCCAAGAGAAATGGCTTCTATTATCCTAATCGGAAATAGCCCATGCCGTGCACCCTCCAAAAAAGCCAATCAAACTATTTAGGAGGCTGATATGCAAGTAGAAATATTATGATACAAATAATTGGGCTTTCCATGACTGAGACATAAATGATATGTCACCTTGGATAATATACTATTCAAAAAAAGTAGGGGATATTTGATTTTGGGGGCATAATACTAAAATATGCAAATGACTACGAAAAAAGTCACTATAGAACCTAACAGAAGAAACATTTCCAGTTACATGTGACGCCCAAACGCACCAATAGCTACCGCATGGAATGCAGGTGATGCTTGGGATCATCATGGGGGTCCAACCCAAGATTTGCACGACTCTGACTTTGAATGTTACAGTCATTGTGGCATTGAATTCCAGGGTGGAAACATCAGTTTAATTGTTTTAGTGACCAGAAAACAAATTTTGATATGCGTCGGCTTACCCAAAATGAAAGGTTACGTGCCCTTGGCATGCTACAGATCGGCACAACACAGGCGGTTGTGGCGCGGACGATGAATGTTTCTCAGTCTGTCATAAGCAGGCTATGGTCCAGATACCGTGATACACAATCTGTACAGGACAGACCACGCTCAGGTCGACCAAGGGCGACAACTCAAGCCCAGGATCGATTTATCCGTACCTTGGCCTTGAGAAATCGTGTCATCACAGCAAATCAGATCAGCGCTCGTCTTCAAACAGACACTGGTGTGAGAGTGAGTGGCCAGACGATTCGGAATCGACTGCATAGGGGTCACCTTCGCGCCCCACGACCTCGCGTGATCCCTTGTTTGAGAGATCATCACATTCAGGCTACACGTCGTTGGTGTAGGGATCGTCAACACTGGGATAATCGACGCTGGAGCAATGTGATGTTTTCAGATGAGTCAAGGTTCACTGTTGATTTTTTGGACAGACGTAGGAGGGTGTGGCGTCGTCGAAACGAGCGCTTCCAAGACGTTAACGTCATCAGACATGATCGATTTGGGGGTGGTTCTGTTATGGTGTGGGGAGGCATCACTGTTGCTGGAAGAACGGCTTTACATGTTGTTGCAGGGCGTGTTACAGGCCAGTACTACCGGGACAACATCTTGGCAGTCCATGTTGTGCCGTTCGCACGACGTCATGGCCGCCGTTTCATCTTCCAGGATGACAACGCAAGATGTCACAGGGCCAGGATCGTTACAGGTTACCTCCAACAACAGAACATCACCACATTACCTTGGCCAGCACTGAGTCCCGACCTCTCCCCCATCGAGCATGTCTGGGACATGCTTGGACAGACAGAGGTTACGTCAACGTCAACAACGTCCTGCCAATGTCCAAGAACTTGCTGCTGCGTTGCAACAGGAATGGGACAATCTGGACCAAAATGACCTTAGACGTCTCATTAGGAGTATGCCACGTCGGATCAATGCTTGTTTGGCAAACAGAGGAGGATTTACCCGTTACTGACTTGGTTGTGATGCTGTGGTAACTTTGCTGTTTGACCCCGGGTATCATTTTACCCTTATAATGGTCAGTCTGTGCCTTACTTAGTCTAACGATCATTTGGAATAAATCGATGAATGTGAACTTCATTTCATTTTGTCATTTGTTTCTTCGTCAGTTTCATTAGGTGACTTTAATAACACTTAAAAATCAAATATCCCCTACTTTTTTTGAATAGTATATTTGAACCATCTTAAATCGAAATGGATTCACACTTAAGTAATTTTGCAACGAATTGCTGTACAATTTCATAAGATTTAGTCCCAAAGGGTCCTGACATTCTTTATTTCTATATCACCTTAAAAAGGGTTTTCACATAATTACCTATCGAGATGAGGAGTAGATATAAACTCAGTTCTGTCAATATATTTTGGAATTTTAAATATTATTCACCATATCTTGATGTCCAACTGGACAAAGTCCTGATCAGATGTTTGGAAAATAGTGTAGGAAATGTCCGGAATATACGGGCTAAGTAGCATCACTGGTCCACTTACCAAAGTTGTGCAGTAATCTTTTAAAAAGAATTTGGTGGTCTATCGTGTCAAACACATTGCTTAGATCAAGCCAAGCAGAACTAGTGCTGATGTTTGTTTTTTATCCATTCCATTTAGTAACTCATTTTCAACACATAAGGTGGTTTTGGTGCTGCGCTGTTTTATTATGAGATTATTATTATGCAAATGTCTTTTAAATTCAGATGCAACAGATTTCTCAATAACTGACGTACTGTTTCCATTTCTTCTGTTTACATTTCTGAATTTCATCATTAAACCAATTTCTATTTGATCTGATAATTATCCTTTGATTTAATTGTGTTTCATAACATGTCTTACCTGACGAAATGCTTGCGGAGCTACCGCATATTTTTTCATAGCCTCAAATTCTCCTTCTGTAATGAACAACAATATGGCTTAGTTTAAAAACAGATCTCATCAAATGAACCATTTTAGGAAGAGAAACAATTTTTTTGTTCGAATCATAGAACTAGAATACTAACGGGAACGCCCACACGGCGACGTATAACGGTGATGAAATAATTATGTTGTACATCGCATGCACGAAGTCAATAAGGCACAAGTAACTTCCGGTCGTATGTCAACACGGCAAAAGCGTACAACGTCCTGGAATTTCAAGAACTTGATGAATAGATGTAAGTTATTTCATAATTTTAATGAATGTTATATTTAAATTAGTTATATAATATACCATCGGGAGAAAAACCATTTGTGTCTGCATCATTTTCTACTACATATTATTATTATGACATTCACATTTAGGGCCTGTTATTTTTTTTTTATTCATTGTTTTGTATATTGTTGTTAGCCTATGACATGCCCGTGCCAGTTTTGGCTGGTTTCCCTGTGCCCTTATTTCGTTTATAACACTACAATAAGACATCTCAACCGTAAGTTTTACACCCTACATACATAGTCACATGGTGTTCGTAGCAAATGGATAAGTTTTGAAACTCATCATCTCATGACACGACATGTGTAACTTTTTTATATTGTCTCGACCATCTCTATATATTTTTTTTCTTCTCAAATGATCAAATTGTTTTGGAACAGTTTCTTTTATATTGTATAATATTTTCTTTAAAGAACTGTATTAATTTGGTATCAAGCTCCCAATTAGATGTCTTTGGTTGGGTACAGATTTACACTGGTAATTTTAATTCATAGCTATTGATTTTGTTTGGTTTTTATTAAAGTTTTTTCCATTGTTATTTATTTTCTTTTTAAGGTTCAAACTTCAAACTAATCCAGTTAAAATTAATGGGAAAGTTCAAGTAGTGGTGATATGAACCAGCGACTGCCAGGCAGGATACGCCCACATTTTCGAGAGATAGATAGAGAACAAGCTAAAAGAAAGTGATTTTTCCTACAATCAAGGGCCATAATTCAGAAAATAACAATTTGATATCCACAAATATCGAAAGGAACCGAGATCTTTGGGTTATAAACTTACATTTCAAGTTTCAACAAAATCGGATAAAAATTATGACCTCTATAGGGTCCACAAACTTGATATACCATATTTTTACGCTATTTGAGAACGAAGAGCGGCCATTTTGTCTGTCAGTTTTGGGCCGATTTTTTCATCAAAAATTGTCTTTTCCATGTTATATCTGAAATATTGAACCTGGTTGTTATGCATTTTAAAGTCAGTAGCTATCAAGTAAGATTAACAGGAAAAAAAAGAGAAAAAATATTCATATGCCTTCTCTCAAGAGCAGTATATATGTTCATTTTCGAACAATTTTCCGCGGGATCAAATTGCCTATTTTTGGGTCGTTTTTAGGACATTAATAAAATAAGAAGGAATGGAGATACATAAGTGAAATTATGTGAACATGTCAAAAAGTTTGTGAATTTTTAAAATTACATACTACTAATGCGCCATATATTATCAATTTTGGTTTACCATAACCCAAAAGGTGATCTCCACATTTTAAAGTAAGCAATTTAAGGGGATCGTTTGCACTTGGTATGACCGTTTTTTTATTAAAAATGAAAAAAAAATGAAAAATTTTGTTTACATGAAATGTTGTTTGGATAAAGTGTACTAAACTTGTTTTCAGTCTTTATTTCTCCCGAAAATGATTATTTTCTACAATTATAATGACTTTTGCATATCTTATAATTAATTTTTATCCGTAATTAATCTTTTGTCTTTGAAATTTTGCCTAAATTCACCCCCTCGTAACTTCTATACAAATCAATCGATCGTCGCCATCTTGGTATCTATTTATAGCCTGGGAAAAATACTATAAATAAACTGTGACGTATTATGTGTTTGCAATGACAATGTACAGGAATTCCCGCGTTACCCTGAGTCCTCGATAGTAAAAACAAAGTTTCCTATTGGTCTATTAGATCACGTGGAATTATTAGCCAATGAAAATGCGTAGTACATCAGTACATACGGGTATTTTGTAACCTTTGACACGTGTGCACATGCGCACTACTATTCTTACCGAACTTCCGGAAGTGCTAAGAATGATAAAACTAAAGCCAAATTTTACTGATTTTTGAGCCTAAAATGCGTATTAAAAATAGAGAAGCGCAAATAAATTCAAAGGAAGAAGGTATATTCGACATTGAGCTACTAGTCTTCCCTCAACATTTGGCATAGAAACCCAGAAATGTGCCGATAAAGCGAGTGAGTCGAGTGACATTGATGACATCTAGTTTACTTTTACTTTAGATAATAATAACAACAATTACGACGATTTTGAAGTACATTTTGACAGTTCGAACGGCGATGTAAACTTTCTAAAATCAATAATATCAAAATTAAACAGTCCAAAATGTCAGAATAAATTTGATCAACAGTTATGTTTGACTGATGTGAACTTTCTAATGTCAATAATATCAAAATTGAATCGTCCAAAATTTCAGAATAAATTTGATCAACAGTTTTGTTTGATTGAAAATAATTTCAATTACTGCCAATAAAATAGGATGAATGCTACTGCTGCTGGGAGTTCTATTAGTGGTATGGCACAAAAATGAATGAACATACAAAATAATATATAAAATTCAGAGAGATATTAAAAAAAATTATGAAAGCCAAAGAATTTGAAAAATTAAAAAAAAAAAATTTAAAAAAATGCGACTAGCAGTATAAAAGAGGGAGCAGTTTATATTTCCGAAGGGTTTTAATTTTAGTAACGGCAAATAAAAATAAACTATCAGTGTTCAAAAACAGTTAATTTTTCACTTTGCACGATTTAACGAACAATATAATAACATTACAAACAACTGATACGGTAACACGGATACCCTTATCGTTTTTTTCTGATTATAGTTTTTATTATGGTTACAGCTAATTTTGGTGGCCATTATAATGTGACTTTATATCATTTTTTCTCCACCAAAGTTCATATTTGCACACAGTGACACATAAACAACATTCAGAATAAATTTGAGCCAAATCCAACTGATAGATCTTGAAAAATAGCGAAACTAAAAAATTACCTATATAAAATCCCCTTTTTCCGTTGCCATGGCAACCGGTTGTCAGAATTTAACGAAAACACAAATTTTATTCTTGTTTCATGTATATGTGTCTTGTGTGAAAATTTAAATATCCTAGCATTGTAAGTTAAAATTTAGTATGAAATGCTTGCAGGAAACTGTGCACAAACTTCAAATGGCATTTTCTCAAAACATGTTTTTGTGCCAATCGCAACTTTTAGTTTCGCTTTTTTTCAAAAACTATTAGAGATATCAATTTGAAATTTTCAGAGATGCTTTATGAGGTGTTGCTGTGTGTAAATAAGGGTTTTTTTTGAATATGCATTAAATAGGGCAAAAGTTATGGTTTCTAAAGTAACTAAGGCTGTACTAAATTTTGCTTCGCTAATTTTTGTGGCCATTATAATGTGACTTTATATCATTTTTTCTCCACCAAACTTCTTATTTGCACACAGTAACACATAAACAACATTCAGAATAAATTTGAGCCAAATCCCATTGATAGATCCTGAAAAATAGCGAAGCTAAGCACATTACCTATATAAAATACCTTTTTTCTGTTGCCATGGCAACCGGTTGTCAGATTTTAACGAAACGAAAAAATTTATACTTGTCTCATGTATATGTGTCTTGTGTGAAAATTTAAACATCCTAGCTTTATAAGTAAAAAATTTGGTCTGAAGTGCTTACTATCCCCTTAAAATATTTGAAACCCATGCAATATCAAATTATACGGATTGTGCAAGTTTGAGAAAAATATGAAGGAGTTTGAGTTGTTACCATAGCAACCACAGTTATTTTTTTTCCAAAAAGCTTTATTTTCCAATTTTTATGACATCAATATTGATAATTGTATTATCTTAAAATCAGAAGCTATCAGGCAAGATTTTAAAAAATAAATAAAATCAAAATATTTTTATTTCTTCTCTCAACAGCAGGAAAGGGGTTCACTTTTGAAAAACATTCCCATTTTGGCCTTTATTACGACATAAATAAAATATGAAGGAATTGAGATATCGAAGTGAAATTTTGTTTATAAGTAAATGTGATTGTGAATTTTAAAATCACATGTCTTTACTCTTGTATATTACTTAATATTTGGATGTTATAGTACCGGTAACCAAAACGAAAAACAAACCAACAAAAATGCAATGTTTATACCATTTTCAATGGTGTTTACCATACTGAATTGCAAATGATCCCCACATTTTAAGTACGATACCAGTAAGCATTTTAGCATATATTTATAACACATGTAATATAAAATATTATGAATTGTGTAATTTTAGGGAAATATTAAGGACTTTGGGTGGTTGCCATAGCAATTACATAATTTTAAAAATAAAATAACTGTTGTTTCACTGTCATTATTGTTCTCAGCATTCCTTGCTTTCATGTAGGCCTACATGTTACAAGAAGAATTCTACTTTGACATATTATTTTCTACTCAGTAGATAACAAAATTGACCAATTAAAAGTTATTTTTGAGGTGCATAATTCTCAAAAAGTACTAAGTAGGCTATCGATAGGCTACGGTAGTGTTAAGGCCTATATAACTGAAAGCTACGACATTATGTGGTCAAAGATAATGCGACGATTTGACTGTAAGAATTGTTTGTTTTTACTTCACTTTTGAATTTTCATTATTCATTCAAATCCGTATTACTCTTCTTCCTTTTTATTTTGTACATTTTCATCAATGTGAATATCAAATCAACAAGGCCTTACGTTTGTGGGTAATTTCAATTTGTTTAACTGGCCAATAAATATAGAGCCCCTATAATTAGGTGTTAAATATATTTACCAAAAAAATCAAAGAATTAAAATTATAATAATCAGTATGGCAACTATAATGCTAAATTATTTTATAAAATGTTTTGCGACAATTGGTTGGTATACGTATCGACAT